CTTCCCTTTTGGTCTTAAATGTAAATGGTCTGACCTGAGCCTGGGGATTGGTTCCAGTGGTGCCACTGGCCCAGGTGCTTTCTCCCCCGGTGACCCCACACCAGGTTAGCCAGCGTTCCTGCAGTGCAGGGCCAGATCCAGGAGGCTCTGGCTCATGCTGCTAGCCGAATGTCCGGCAAGGTCATCCCAGCCCTGCTGCAGCCGCACTGTCGCCAGGCCCTGCGATGTGCCCGCTACTACCAGGCTGATGGGGGTTGTAGGCAGGTGAAAATAGCTTTTGTGGGTGCCTCTCTCAGCTCGTCATGTGTGGGCAGGTCATTTCTTTAGCCTGTCAGCTGGCAGCATGGAGCTCTGCTACACCCAGGTGCTGCCTTGAACTGGCTCAGTTCTGCAGCCCCAACGCCCAGGCTGTCTCCTGGAACTGGCGCAGAAAGCCCTGCCTTGGTGCTAACCAGGGCTGCTACGCAAACAGAACGTTGGGGATCATTGGGAAATGGATAGAGACTAAGACAGAAAATATCTTATTGCCTCTCTATAAATCCATGGTACACCCACAGCTTGAATGCTGAATGCAGATGTGGTCTCCCCGTCTCAAGAAAGGTACATCGGAGTTGGAAAAAGTTCCGAAAAGGGCAACAAAAATGATGAGGGGTATGGAACGGCTTCCGTCTGAGGAGAGATTAATAAGACTGGGACTTTTCAGCTTGGAAAAGAGACGACTAAGGGGGGATAAGATAGAGGTCTATAAAATCATGACTGGTGTGGAGAAAGTCAGTAAGGAAGAGGTGGGTTTTTTGTTGTTGTTTACTCCTTCTCATACCACAAGAACCAGGGGTCACCCAATGAAATGAACAGGCAGCAGGTTTAAATCAAACCAAAGGAAGCATTTCTTCACATAACGCACAGTCAACCTGTGGAACTCTTTGCCAGAGGATGTTATGAAGGCCAAGACTATAACAGGGTTCAAAAAAGAACTAGGTAAGTTCTTGGAGGATAGGTCCATCAATGGCTATTAGCCAGGATGGGCAGGGATGGTGGCCCTAGCCTCTGTTTGCCAGAAGCTGGGAATGGGCGACGGGATGGATCGCTTGGTGATTCACTGTTCTGTTCATTCCCTCTGGGGCCCCTGGCACTGGCCACGGTCGGAAGACGGGATACTGGGCTAGATGGACCTTTGCTCTGACCCAGTGTGGCCATTCTTATGATTAGACCCAGCTGGTTGTTCTGGGCTCTGGATTCCATCTAGCTGCTAGTCCCCTTCGCTGGTTGCCAGTTCTGTTCCCAAAATGCGCTGGGCGTCAGGGTTGGCGCTCATTGCTGCGGACTCGGAGGGGGCTGCACAGAGATGCTGACAGGAAGCTGGGCTTGTGTGCATGGATTCTCTTGCTGCAGCTTTTCCGTCTGGTGCCTGTTTTTCTAGCTCCCTTGGGGCATTCTCTCTGCCTGTGGCTTGCTAGTGTTTACATTCAGGCTGTTTGGTGCAGGTCTGTGGCTCGCAGAGCAGGTCCTGGCAGAGGCCACGCTTGGCGTCTCAGGCCCTGCTCTGCAGAGCATTTCCTCGGGCTCTGACAAGCTGCTTCTGTCACAGCAGCAACAAGGCACCCGGCATGTTTTGAGTAGCAGCATTTCTCGCTTTGCCGCAGTCCAGTGCAGGGATCCCAGAGGCTCTGTTGGTGTTGGAGCTCACCCGCCCCCTCTGCTCACCGCCCCCCGGTTGCACCTGCTCCCTGGCTGTGCCTGGAGTTTCTCTGGTGCAGATCCAGCCCTGAGAACTGGAGCCCCGGGCGACGGAGCTGCAGAGAGACCCCGGGGGCTGCGTGCAGTGAAGGGGTGTGAGCCTGAGAGGAAGTAGTGCAGAATGTGGGCTGGGCAGATGGAGCCAGGCTGGCTGCACAGAGGTGGCCAGGGCAGGAGCTCTTGCTTCCGAGGGGGCTGCCAGCCTTCTTTAGTGCTCCCTCTCTCTGCCCCCCTCCCTGCGGTATCTGAGCAGCACCCTTGGCCCCCCTGCGAGGCAGGGAGGCGTTAGCGCCATGTGACTGAGGCTCAGAGGCAGGCAGAGTCCAGCTGAGCCAGGAGCTGCATCAGGTCCCTCCAGTCCCAGCCCAGTGCTCCGTCCACTAGACCCTCCTTGATTCGGAGCTAGCCGCACAACGCGGGTCTCCGGCTCAGCATTGGCATGTGCTGCTGATGCTGCTCCTCACCCTGGGCCATGCCCTGCTGGGCCAGGCCAGACGCGACGCAGCCCCGAGCAGTTCAACAGCCTGGGGTGGGGGGCAGGGGAGGGGCCAAGGCATCAGCTGCTACAGGACAATGGTTCCCAGCCGTTGTGGTTGGGAATAACACCTCACCCGGTGCAGTCTGCCTGAGTCTGCAGACCGGCGCGCTGCTTTCAAAGCTCTGAGCTGCTCTGGGGCGGCCTGTTACCCAGGAGCTCAGCCTAGATCCGTGTTCCCTTTTGGCCTCGGGGTCTCCCCAGATGGCAGCAGCATCGAATGGGCAAGGCTCCAGGCTAGTGAGGCACATCTAGCAGACGCTCCAGGGCTGGGAGCTGACCCGAGACCCCAAGGGGCAGAGGTTAGCGATGATGATGATGATGATTAGCCATTGGAGCTGCTCCCCTGGGGCCCCACGTGGAGTCTGTAAACTCAGACTGGATCTTTCCAAGTGCTCTGTTCTAGCTCAGCCAGGGGTTACGGGCTGGCTGCAGGAGTCACTGGGTGAGACTGACCCAGGAGGGCACTAGACCATCATGGTCCCTCCTGGCCTTGAGATGGCTCTGCTGCAGCTTGGGGAGTCTCGGAGCGGGAGGCGCTGGAGTGATCTGGGGGGTGGGGGGAAATGATCTGAACCCCCTGCGGGCTGGGGAAGGGCGCAGGTGCTGGAGGCTGTCCCCCCAGGAGGTGGTGGGGAGCCCTCTCCCTTCAGCAGCGAGGGGGTGCTGAGCAGCCTCTGACTCTGGCCCACTCGCCAGCCAGAGCAGGTTCCCTGAGGAAGCCCTGAGCAGTTTCCCAGGGCCTGCAGTGAGAAAGTCAGAGCAGCCCCCTTCGCTGCGGCTGGATCACGACCGCAGCTTGGACCCCACGTGGGGCTGGGTACAGGGAGTCTGATCTAGTGTCAGCCTCTGCTCCAGTGAATCCCTGGGCCAGGGTACAGCCTCTCCTCGCTGGCCGTGGGAGGAGCAGGCCTTGCTGCAGGGGATGGCAGGCGGGGGTGTGTGTGTCTAGCACAGACCCTGGGGATGCCAATAGGGGCTCAGTGCCCCTAGGACTCGCAGTGCCTCGCTGAGGTGACAGGATTAGGATTTCAGATGCCATAAATAGGCTGCACTGCAGAATTACAGGGAGTTCCAGCAGAGCTGCTTAGTGGCACTTCCTGCAAAGTGTGGCCGGGTAATACTCCACTCCTTTGGCCTGGGAAATGGTGCTCTGGGGCTTAAAATCCCCATGGTGGTGACAGCCCCCTCCTCCTGTCCTGTGATGGGATTAAGCCACCTCTCTAACTGCAACCCCCCGCTTTGTATCTAAGGTGTTCCCAGGCCCTGCTGTCACCCCGCAGCCGCCTCCTTGTGCTAATGGCTTCCTGTGCTCTGGTCTGGCCAAGCAGGGACTGACTGCCAGCCCCTTTCACCTCTGTTTGGGTTCCTGCTTCGGGCGCTAGCCCATGCTAGGAGCCTTGAGGCTGCAAATCGAGCAAGGTGACTTCAGCTGCGAGCAAGGTGCTTTTTCTTGGTGCTGAGCAACTAAAGGAGAGGTTCCTCCCCATCCCCTTGGCTTGCCGAGCCTGGGCGCTGGTATTCCTACCGGTCTCTGATTGCTCAGGCTGTTGGACAGCTGGGATTCCTGGGTTCCAAATTTCTGTCAGTTGGGTAAAGTTGCGTTTTAAGGCAGGGCAGCAGTACAGAGGAGATGCCCTGTGTCCTGCTTGGCTCTCAAAGGCCGACATGACGGAGGGGTGGCTGGGCCAGATTTGGTGTGACCTGGTGCCGGGGGCCACGAGCTGTAGAACGTTATGGTGTTAACAGCTGCAGTTTCCACAACCAAATGGCAGGCCGTGGTTTTCTTCCAGCCTTACTTGTCAGTAGCTTCCTGGGCGGATTTGTGGCTGTGCACGTTCCTGCCTCCGGCCTGTTCCCAGCCCTCTGCTGCAGTGTGTGACGCTCTCCCGTCCGCACACCCGGCGCAGCAGCGATGGGTGTGACTGCCAGCAATGCACTGGGGCTCCTCAGGGCGCCCGGGCAATGCTGTCTGGGATCGTCCCTTAGCGCGGTCTCCGCCGCTGGGGAGGAGCGCTCGGCTGCTGAGGCTAGGACAAGGGGGCAGGTTTTGGTGTCTGTCTCTGACTCGGAGTTGTGATGGCTGTAGCTTTGTCCAGCTCGCTCCTCCTGCGGGGGGCCTGGCTCTGTGTGTGGCTGATGTCCCAGGCGTGGGATTAAGATAGCGAAGGACCCAGCAGGATTAGAGCGAGGAGGCTGCGCGTGAGGTGGGGAGCTTGAGGGGGCTCGCTCGGCGGAGAGCAGCCGTGTTAGACCTGCTGCTGCTCCCTGCGTGGCTGCCTGACAGCTGAAGCTGGCCGCGGGTTTCTCTCCCGCCCGCTCGATGGAGTGGGCTTGTTTATCGCAGCTGGGAGAAGGGTGTTTCCCAGGCAGGGCTGGAGGCTGCTGAGAAGGAAACTGCTGTGGCCTGAAACTCAGCAGGCTCTGCAGCTGCCCCCCCTGGGAATCGGGCTCCGCTCTGGGGAGGAGATCTCCTCCGCTCTGTGGCTGAGACGATAACAGCCTGATCAGGGCCTTCCTCGCAGCACCGCTCCGGAGCCGCCAGGCCTGCACAGCGCGGGGCACGGACTCTGCTTATTGTGGCATTGGCAGGCACCGACGTCCTACACCAACGCCACCCAGGGCCGTATGTATCTGAGACTCCCACGCAGGGGGGGCTTCTGGTTTGGACTGAGACCCCATATGCCCTGTGGGGGCAAGGCATGGGGCAAGTGACTTAGGCCCGGAGGCCTTGTTTCTCTCCTGGGTTGTTTTGGGGGCTTGTCCCTCCCCCTTCCCTTCCACGGGCTGGGGATTGCATCTCCATGCCTTGGAGATTCTTAGCCCCCCACCCCGGTCCTCCTCCATGCCAGTCTCTGCATTCTCACTGGCTGAGTAATGCTTAGATTCCTGGTGCCAGGGAGCCTGTCAATGGGTCAGAGGGAGGAGGTAGCCGGCCACACCAGGAGCCCATCCTATCTGGAATTGCCTGCCTCAGCTGTCTGGTCGCAGATCTCCTTGTTAGTCTGGGGTCCCAGGTCTGGCAGGAAAATGCTCATAACTATGTGTGGTTGGGGGGCGGGGGTGGAAGGTGCTCGAAGTGCCTTTGATGGGCTGTAAATCTCTGCCTGCTGATGTCCTAGCCAGGGGGAGGATCCCCCGGCCCCACGCCTCTCAAGCTTGTACCCTGAAGCATGAGGGTCGAGAGCCCCTGGAACATTGCAGTGCAGCGGCTGCTGTGATTCATGCCATAGAGGGTCCTTGGCCATCCACCTGCAGAGGGCAGACCCCGGGCTGGAGGCCGGCATTAGGTGGCTCCGGGCCACAGTGCAGTCCGTTACGGTCGCCCGCAAGGTGCTAATGCACCTAGAACCCCGTCATTCGTTTCGCTGTAGCAGTGCCCAGCATGTGCCTTAGAGTGCCATGCTGGGAACCCAGCCTCTTGCTGATCCCTGCGAAACCACTGCTGTCCCCTCACTGTACCTACAGTCAGCTGCAAACAGGCCTTGCGGTGTCCTAAAGCTGGGGAGGGCAGGGACTCCAGAGCATCTATATCTTGCCTGCTGCCAGTGGCCAGTGCCAGAGCATCAGAGCATGGACAGAACAGGGCAATCATCGAGTGATCTACCCCGTCATCCAGTCCCCAGTTCTGGCAGTTGGGAACCCCAAGGCAGGGGGCTGCGTCCCTGACCAGCATGGCTAATAGCCATTGGTGGACCTGTCCTTCAGCGTGAGGGAGGCTGCACCTCTCTAGGTCACCAGGGACAGAACTCTGAGCTCATTGAATGCCCCACTGTCATGTTACGCGGTGGGGTGACTAGCCCGGGGCCTTCTCTGGCCCCTTAGTCTGTCCCTCTGGCCCCTGCACAGTGATGGTGGTAGGAGCAATGGGGCTCCCACTTACTCAATATCCCTGGTCTCATCTCCCTGCTCCCCAGAGCTCTGTTCCTCATCCTCCTCTGGATCCTTGTGACTTGTTCAGAGTCCTGTGACCAGCAGGACTCACTGTAGGGAAACACCAGCCCTTTATGTAACTGCATTAGAATAGATCTGGGGCAGCTGCCCTTGTCATCTGACTCCTGCTGCACGTTGAACTAGGCTCTGCTTGGAAGGTGCAGCTAGTGTGGGGCCCACAATGGGTTGTGAGAGCGGGTTATATCGCTCTCTAAATGGGCATAGCCTGATGCTTGTCTAGGCTGCTTCTCTGTGCCATGCTGCCTGGGAGAGGAGGGAACCTCCTCACTCTGGCTCTAGGCTGTAGTGCCCAAGGTCCTTGCCAGGTGTTCAGCCCCCCTCTGAAAGGGTGGGGCAGGCAGGGGTACCATGGTGCTGGCACTGGGCCTGAGCTGTCTTAGCTGTCTGCACTGCATCTTGTTGCTGATGCGAGTGCATGGGAGGTGCCAATGTGCATGGTGGTCCCCGGCATGCTCCTGGAGCCTGGGGAAGGGGAGGGAAGTTTGGGGAAGCTGTGCAGCCTGCTTCGCTGGTGGGACAGGCGGAAGGGCCCCCCCGCTGACCTGCTCCGTGCTGTGATGGCGTGGGCCTGGCTGGCTCTTAGCAGTGGGCTGTTAGAGCCTGGCACAGGTTCAAGCCCAGGCTGCCATGGAGTGTTTCTGGCTGCCCAGTCTGAGAAGGGGACATCTAGGAGGAAGTGGGGGAAGGAATCGAGGTCTCCAGACACCCGCTCAGCAATGGGATTTGTCAAGGTGAGTCTGAGCGGAGAGACTGACAAATAGGCCCCCTGTCCCGGACCCACAGGAGCGGTGCTGCAGCCCCAGCTTTGAAATGGTCTCCAGGGCGAACCTTCAGTGGGCCTTACCCCTGAGGGGTCTCGCTCTGCCTCGTGGTACATAAGAACAGCCCTACTGGGTCAGACCAAAGGTCCATCCAGCCCAGTATCCTGTCTGCCGACAGGTTCACTCCCTCTGGGGCACCTGGCATTGGCCACTAACGGGGGGTGATCGAGTGATCTCTCTCCTGCCATCTATCTCCACCCTCTGATAAACAGAGGCTAAGGACACCATTCCTTCCCCATCCTGGCTAATAGCCATTAATGAACTTAACCTCCATGAATTTATCCAGTTCTTTTTTAAACCCTGTTATAGTCCTAGCCTTCACAACCTCCTCAGGCAAGGAGTTCCACAGGTTGACTGTGCGCTGAGTGAAGAACTTCCTTTTATCTGTTTTAAACCTGCTGCCCTTAATTTCATTTGGTGGCCCCTAGTTCTTATTATGGGGACAAGTAAATGGCTTTTCCCTATTCACTTTCTCCGCACCACTCATGATTTTATAGACCTCTTTCATATCCCCCCTTAGTCTCCTCTTTTCCAAGCTGAAAAGTCCTAGCCTCTTTAATCTCTCCTCATATGAGACCCGTTCTAACCCCCTCATCATTTTAGTTGCCCTTCTCTGAACCTTTTCTAATGCCAGTACAGCTACATGGCCTCACTGCCTCCTTGAACTGGGCATCTGGGCCTGCAGCCCCCAGCTCCGCTCTGCTTATCTCACTGAGCCAGACCCTGAGGGAGGCTTGTCCCTCCACAGGGCCAATGACGCATACGCCCTGTTGCCAAAAGAGCTGGCTTGTTCAGTGCCCTGCACACAGCACAGGCTGGCCTGAGGGGAGCCTAGAGCACCGTCCAGTCTGTTGGACCCAGAGCCAGCTGAGCTGCAATGACCCCTGTGACGCCAGGTGAGAGCCCTGGCTCCTGGGAGCCAGCACTTACCCCCATGGATCTCGAGCTAGGGAAAGGCTGTTCAGTCTCCCCAAGGAGAGACAGGAAAGTCCACATCCCTCTGGGTCCTTGGTTGCTGGGTGTCAATGTCCAGGCAACTGGCTTTGACATTGTCTTCTCATCTCTTCCATTGATATGGGGCTGAGGTCTGGAAAGCTGGGGACAACCCACCCATGTGTCTCCGCCTGCCTGGAGAGCAAACAGTAGGCAACAATGCAGCATCTGGGGGAAACTGAGGCACAAACAGGACTCTCAAAAATATTACCAAATATTCCCACTTCGTCACACCCCCTTCCTGCTCGTAAGGGTGGACCCAGCCCAAGGAGGAGTATTGCCGATGGGAAGCTGGCATTGCAGCTGTACTGCGCATGGGGATAACCGGGGCTTGCGTCTCTCACCAGGACCGAAGGAAGCACCCACTTCTGTGTTTCTGAGTGGGCCTGTGGGGGCATTCCTGGGAGCTGCTGGGCCCTGGGAAGGGGTGTGCGGTATGTGGGGGCTGTGCCGGGTGGCTGGGAGCTCTGGATGCCTAGGCTGTGTGACTGACGCTGGCTTGGTCTCACGGACGGTGTTAAATCCCGTGGGTGGTGCTGTGGTGGAGGCTGCGCTGTGGGGTTTCAGCCCTTCAGGCCCAGGGGGCAGCTGTGCTGCTTGTAAATTACTTGCAGGAGAAAGTTGGACTGAACCCAGGGCAGGGAACAGCCAGAGCCAGCCTAGCACTGTGTCACGTGAGCAGGGCCAGCTGATGCTGAGACTTAGATAGGATTTCCCTGGATCCTCGTGGCAGCAGGCCCAGCTCCCGCTGTTGCTGCCTGAGAAATGAGCCCTGGTGCTTACAAGAAGGGGCGTTGCCCTGCTGGGGGCTGGGCAGCGCCAGGTCTCTCCTGCTCCTGGCACAGCAGCTCCAACCTGGAGAGCTCTGCCTGCCAGCCCCTGGACACGGCCGGTGCTCAGTGGCCAGCCCTGTGCAGCACAGGTAGGGAGGGAGCCCGAGGAAGGGTGCTGGCCACCGGTATTCTGGGTGGGGTGTACTCTGGCTTCTGCTCCCAGGCCTGCTGGCAGGGTGGCACCTCGTCTGTTGCACTGCATGCCAACCTGTCATGGCAGGAGCCTGCCCAAGACCCACATGGGGGACGTGGGAACTTGGCAGCAGCTGTGTACAATGGAGTAGCGTGCATCTGCCCTCGCGGTTAACCCCATGGGCGCCTCGGCTGCAGCTGCGGCCCTGGAGGCTACGGATCCCGGCCTGCACGCTGTGTGGCCAGCGCTGCTAGGCTGTCGTCGCCACTTCTGGAAAGAAGGAAAATGGGCTTGTGTCCTTCTTTGCTTCTGTGTGGTAGGCAGAGGGCCCGGGGTGGGGGGAGCCCTGTGCTGGCAGGGGTCCTTGCGGGGGAGAGCAGTGGGGCCTGGGACGAGGGACCTGGGCAGAGGGGAAGCCCTGCAGTGGGGTAGGGAGAGGGTCCTGCGGGCAGTGGGGGTCCCTGTGGTGGGGGACAGTGGGGCCTGGGGAGGAGGGATCTGGCCAGAGGGGAAGTTCTGCAGCAGGGGTGGACGGAGGTGACCCTTGGGGGGGGGGGTGAACGGGGCCCTGTCTCCCTGGAAAAGCCAGGGGAGATTCGCTAGGGGACTGGGGAGCGGGCAGGGTCGTTGTCAGCTGTTGCGTGCAGGAGGCCTGAGTAACAGCCCCTTCCTGCCCCTCCTGCGTGGTGGCTGCCCAAGGTGCCTCGGGTACCTCCGCACAGCCTGTGCAGCAGCCCCCCAGCCGGGCGCGGGCTAGCGCTTGGACGATGGCGGTGTAGATGCGCGTGGAGTTCGACTGGGGCTCTGAAACCCCCCAAGCCCCGCTCTCCTGCGGGCTGTGTTAGACGGACCCTTCTGGCAGTGCAGGGACCTGCCACCCATGCAGTCACAGGGCACCCCGAGTAGAGTGACCAGATGTCCTGATTTGATAGGGGCAGTCGTGATATTTTGGGGTTTTGTCTTATATAGGTGCCTGTTTACCCCCATCCCGATTTTTCACACGGTCTGGTCACCCTAGCCCTGAGGCAGCCCCCCAACAGCCAGATCCGGACCAGCAGGGCCTTCCATTTGGCCTGCCAGGCGTCAGCAGCTCCGTACTGCTCCTTGCTGGGGGCTCCATGTCCGGACCGCCCGGCTCCAGCGCCTGGCCTCCCCGCCCGGTCCCGGCTGCTGTTCCCTCTGGGCGCCCAGGAGGGAAAGGGGCTGCCAGGAGCATGGGGCTGGTGGAGCCCTGTGGGGAGCAGGGGCCCTCCCCAGAGCCCCGCGCAAGGCGCCCCCTTCCCTCTGAGCTGGCCGGGGCCGGGTGGGAGCAAGGGGGCCTCAGGCAGGTCTGGGGCCGGGGCAGGCCTGCAGGCAGAGCTGAGCAGTGGGGCCCCCGGGAACAGGAGGTGGGAGAGAGGGTGCTGCCGGCTGCCCGACCCCCGTCTCCGGCCTGTGGGGGGGACGATGCTGGCGCTAGGCCCTGGTTACCGTGGCGACAGAGCCATGGGAACTGGGTCAGCCTGCTCCCTAGCAGAGACACCTCATGGCTGGGTGACGTGGGCCCCCCCGAGCGAGCCTGGGGGGGAGCAGGGGTGGGGCACAGGGGCTGGGGAGGAGGCAGGGGGGCAATGGGGGGGGCTGGGGAGGTCATGGGGGCATGAGGCAATGGGTGGTGGGGGCTAGGGAGGCAGCCATGGGGTGATGGCAGCTGCGGGCAGGGGGATGGAGGCAGCCACGGGGGGGGCATGGAGGGGGGAGGCAGCAGCATGGGGTGATGGGGGGGCCAGTGAGGCAGTTGTGGGGGGGGTATGGACTGGTGGGGGGCTGGGGAGGCAGCTGGTGGGGGGCATCTAGTCCTGTCCGCTCCGGAAAGGATGGGTCCAGGAGGCTGCCTGGGACGCTGGGCTTTGGGGGGCCCCTCAGGCTGTGGCTGGCTGGCTGGCAGTGGGGGGGACTCGGGAGCAAGGCCTCTAACACCCCCTCTGTGTGTTTTCTCCTCAGTACTGAAGCGGCAGTGAGCACCTTGGAACATGTCCCACGAGAAGAGCTTCCTGGTGTCGGGCGATGGCTTCCCCACTCCAAGCCCTGCCTTCCCTGGGCAGCAGCCTCCTGCCCCGCCAGCCTACGCACAGCCCCCCTTCCCGACAGCACCCTATCCACAGCCCCAGTTCCAGCCAGGACCCTACAACCAGCCGGGCTTTCCGCAGGGCCCGTACCCTCAAGGGCCTGGGCCGTACCCACCAGCCCTGTATCCTCAGGGGCCATATCCACCAGCAGGCGCGTATCCTCAGGGGCCGTGTCCACCAGGGCCGTATGTGCAGCCGCCGTACGCCCAGCCACAGCCCATAGTCTCAGAGGACCAAGGCTGTAAGTGATATTACTGCTCCCGTGGGAGGCGGGGGAGAGGCAGTGGGGAGGGCATGCCTGGGGGGGCTGCCCCATCCCCCTCTAGAGCTGAGCGAGACCCAAACCCTCCCAGCAGCCAGGCTGCATTCCGCCTGCCTGGAGTCCCAGCAGGTGCTGCCGGTCCAGCTGGAGGCCTCTCCCCAAAGTCTGCGGCAGCTAGTGGTGCCCTCTGACCTGCTGCCATGCAGAGCTGCCAGACTCCTCCTGGGGCTCCCAGGTCTGCTCTGCACCTGCTGTGGCCCTGGGGATAGTACCTGTGCCCTCAAGGGTGGGGGCGAGCTGCTGGGAAATGGGGTGAAAGATGCAGAGCCAGCCCCATCCCTGGGGGGCCAAGTGAGGGGGATCTGGGTTATGTGGCGGGCTCTGGACATAGGCTCTGTGAGAATAACCCAGGATCTAGACCTCAGGGAGACAGGGAAGCTGGTTAACCTGGTGCAGTGTCTGTGTAAACAGGTCCCTAGACACCACTTTGCAATGGGATCCATGATGGCCCCTGTGACTCCTGGGCACGGTAGGGCAGCGGTAACACTCCCAGTCTGAGGAGCTCTCTGGGCCCCTCCATCCTGCACAGGGCCCAGAGGTCTGAGTGAGGGGTGGGATTTGGGGGCTGAATTGGTGTGGCTTGGCCAAGGTCACCAGAATCGCTGGGGCTCAGTGCTCTCCACCTGCCCACTCCCTGCTGCTGCAGCTGTGAGGGCTTCTCTGCCCGGGAACTCTGCCGTGGGGACAGCAGCAGTTGCTTCCTCTGGAGAAGAACGGGGAGTCCCTTGCCTGCAGCCCTCTTGCACCCCAGGGAGAGAAGAGGAGACTCCTGCAGCCTCCCCTCCCTGGGGCAGGTGAGGCCTAGCCACGAACCAGGGCCCTGTTTCCTGCCGGCCCTCCACCATCGGGGAGGGGGGCATGGTGGTGTCTGGCATGCTCTCTTAGCCACAGAGGAATTGCTGAGCTGCGCCTGTGACTGTTCGCCCCGGTGTGTGCAGCGCAAGCCAGCATGGAGCTCCTGGGGAGAGGATGCTGCAGCCACCTTCCCATGCCACGCTGGCAAGGGGGCCAGTGGGAGACGGGCTGGGCATGGGAGACCCGGGGGAGACAGGCTGGGTGTGGGGGGCAGCTTCAGGCTCCCTCCAGCCCTCTGAGAGGCACAGGGCGTGGGCTCCTGCCTCCCCACACCAGTGCCCTCAGGTGGGGTGTGGCAGGCACAGCCATGCTCCTGACCAGCTCTGCCCACTGCTCCCAGCCCTGCCTGACCCTCTCACCTGCCTTTCTCGTCTCCGTGTGCGGCACTCCCACCACCAGACGGAGTGAGCCCTCCCCATGTGCCCTGGAGACTGGCACCATGGCCATCAGAGTTGGTGAGCTGCGCTCCTGGGGCATAGCCAGGCCGTGATCTCCCAAGGGGTGGGGCTGGAGATGTGGGGCAAGGTGCCGCAGTGCGTGCGGTAGAGCCCAGCACCCATCTGGCCTGGGGCCTGCTCCCCTGGAGCTTAGTTCTTCTTGGGCGCTGGACTGCTCCTGGCCAGGGCCAGGGGGCTGAAGGGCTCTGCACCAGCTTCTGTCTTACTCCCCCTTTCTCCAGCTCCGCTGCACAGTAACTACCATGAGGAGGGGCCGCCCTCGTACTATGACAACCAGGACTTCCCCATCACCCACTGGGATGACAAGAGCATCCGCCAGGCCTTCATCCGCAAGGTGAGGGGCTCCCAGTGCACTGGGGTGCTTCAGTCAGGCTGGGCAGGGGCCAAGGGCCTGTGATCCCCACTGGAGGAGGTGGGAGGGGGCCCCTCTTTGCGTGGGGGTAGGGGAAGATTCCCTATGGTGGGGGAGAGGGGCCCTGCCCTCACCCATGCCGTGTGCCCTTCCAGGTGTTCCTGGTGCTGACCCTCCAGCTGAGCGTGACCTTCGCCTTCGTGGCCATCTTCACCTTTGTGAAGGGTGTGAAGGGCTTTGTGAGGCGCAATGTCTGGACGTACTATGTCTCCTACGCCGTCTTCTTCATCTCGCTGATCGTGCTGAGCTGCTGTGGGGAGTTCCGCCGCAAGTACCCCTGGAACCTGGTCGCCCTGGTGAGCACCAGCCTCCAGGCCCAGCGTGGCTCTTGCAGCCCCACCCCTGAAATCCCCTCTCGCTTGGGGTGAGTGGGAGGGGCCCTCTGTCTGCTCTGGGGCAGGCTGGAGTCGCTCTCCCCACCCGTCGTGCTGTTCCCTACGCTGCCCCATCCCCGTACGACCCCCCCATCCCCGTACGACCCCCCCATCCCCGTACGACCTGTGCTGCATGGCTAGTCTCAGCGCTGCAGGGTGCTGAGACAAGCTGCCGTGGCTGAGTGCTCCGGGGAGTCTCCCTACCCAGCTGCTTACGCAGGGTGCTTGTACCCCTTACCCCATGGTCTTGCACCTCCTTCCAGGAGTGCTGAGCTGAGTCAGCCCTGCTGAGGAGGGGCTGGGCGGTGCAGGGGTGTTGAGCCCAGGGAGGCACTAGGAGGTGCTGCGCTGCTGGCTCTGGGGTGGAGCCCCATAGGGGGCGTGTGACAGAGTGGGGAGGATTGACCTGGAGATGTTGCCGGGGAGTTTTACTGGGACTGTCTGCAATGGGGATGGGGTAGCAGGGGGTGACTTCACTTGAGGGACGATACCTGAGCCTGTCACCTGAGCCACGAGGGGGGATGGGGCCAGGTGACATCTTCTGCCCGGGGAACTGGACAAAGGCTGGAGGAGGAGCTGGGGGAGGCTGGGTGAGATGGCTGAAGGGGTTTCAGTTTGGAGTGGTCTGGGGAAAAACGGAGGGAGCCCCAAGGCCGGGATCTAAGCTCCCTGCCCCCCAGAGGGACCTGACTGAGGGGTCCTATTTGTACCTACAAGCTCTGTCTGGACTGTGTTCCTGTTGTCTAATAAACCTTCCATTTTACTGGCTGGCTGAGAGTCACGGGGAATCGCAGGAAGTGGGGGTGCACTCCCTCACACATCCTGTGTTAGCACTGACCCCAAGCGCAGCCCCCTAGGTCTTGAGCACAGTGCCAATAACAGCCCCATGGCCACGGTCCCTGGTGGATCTGGGGTGAGATTTCATTACACTTGCTTTTGGCTGAACGCAGGGCTAGTCGTACTTTCTTGTCCCTTTGGTTGGGCGTGAGCTGGCTACATTGGGGCAGGAGGTGGAGACCCCTTCTGATGGCCATGTGCTAGGCTTTTAGCAGGTGGCCGTTCCCTCCAGCAAAGGCTGTAAACCGTTCGTTCACCATTCTCCCCAGCTGGGCACTCTCCAGGCCCAGCCCCTCTTGGGGTTGTAGGTTTCCAGCTTTGGGCTTTCCGGTGCGTGCTGCAGACAGGTCCCCAGGGGAATGAGGCTGTTGTGGCACTAAGGGTTTATGGCTCAGGGCTGGATGGTGGTGCCCAGGCTGCTTCCCTGGCAGCTGGGGGTGCCCCTCACCCGGGTGCCTGCCCCACCCCAGTTCTGCTTGGCCTGCCCCAGTCCCGCCTCCCTCTAACGCATGTCCCTTCTCTCCAGTCCATCCTGACCATCAGCCTCTCCTACATGGTGGGGATGATCGCCAGCTTCTACGAAACGGACGCCGTCATCATGGCTGTGGGCATCACAGCCGCTGTCTGCTTCACCGTTGTCCTCTTCTCCCTGCAGGTGAGGGGGGCTGGGCTCTCTCCCTGCCAGTGCTCTGTCCCCAGGCTGGGCTGGGAGCTCGCTGTTAGGCCACCCAGGGGGATTCCTTCACTAAAAGCCCTGTGGCTGTCTGGGGAATGAGGGGTTGGCATCTGCCTTCTCCAACTGTGAGAGCGGGGAGCCAGGAGCCCCAGGCTGTCCCCTGCTGGGGATATGGCTGTGCCTGGGGCCCTGGCACCTGTGGGTCACTGCCCAGCCGTGCCCTCCAGTCTGAGCCTTAGCCAGACTCCTGCCATTAGGAGTCAGTCCCTGCTGCAGTAGCTTCCCTGGCACCGTCTGTGCCTTCGTGCTACTAAGGGGTTGATGCTCCAGAGCCCTTGGGCTGGGGCAGCACCTGCCCGCTAACGGCTCCACGTGCTCAAGCTGCAGTGGGTGTGGATTGTGCTTAGCAGGAACAGCAGCATCCCTGGGAGCTGGACGTGGGGTTGGCAGGATCCAGGTGCAGCCTGTGAGCTGCCTGTACTGGTTCCCAGGGAATTCGCCCTCTGACCCAGTCATGTCGCAGCCTTGCTTGGGGCTGGGCAGCCAGCACTGCAATAACCGGCCCATATCTGGGCTCCTGGGGGAGCTGCCTGGAAAGCAGAGACCTGGGCCCAAAGCAGGGCTCCTTTCAGCTCCTCCAGCAGGCGGAGCAGTGCTGGGGTCAGGCACTGCCCAGCCACGAGGGCAGGGGCTGGAGACCCTGCATGTGACGACCCAATGGCCCGTTGTCCTCTCCTGCAGACCAAGTACGACTTCACCTCGTGCCGGGGCGTGCTGATCGTCTGCCTGGTGGTGCTGATCATCTTCTCCATCCTGTGTATCTTCATCCGGAACCGCATCATGGACATTGTCTATGCCTCGCTGGGAGCCCTGCTCTTCACCTGTGTGAGTGTCTGCCGGGGCGGGGTGGCTGCGTGGGTGGGAGCCAGGGTGCTCGGCCTAGAGGCTCGCCAGGGCCTCAGATGGGCCAGCTCTGCCTGATGAACCCCTCCCCCATGGGGATGTGGCTGCCTCACCCCAACTGAGAAACCAAACCCCCAGGGTCATGGGCGCTGCGCCCCTTGGGCCTTAAAATCCACCCTCTCCAGCTGCGAGTCTAGCTATGGCCACCCCATCCCTGTGCCCGTGGGTGAGCACCTTGCCGGAGAGCCGGCCTGGAGCTGTGCGCTGGGGACAGCTCTAGAACTGGCATAGCTTCAGACCCTCTTCGTGGCGCCACCTGGGAGCTTGTTCCTGCTCCTGCCTCGTCCCAGCTGGAACCACGGCTCTGCGGTGGGCATGAACACGGGGTCCCAGTGTCAGCTGTGGGGCCAGCCGTCGTGCCTGGATAAACGCCCCCATTTTTGAGATGGTGGCTGCTGGCAGGTGGGAAGGGCCAAGTCCCAGCTCTTGCTCACCAAGCCAGAGAGCCCTGTCTGGGCTGGCACTTGGGACCCATCCCCTTACCTAGAGCAGGAGGGGTGTTGGTGACCCTGCTCAGAAAGGGAGGGAGGAGCTTGGCAGGGCAGTGTCAGTCATGGCCAGGGACGGCCCATCCCTTTGGATCACCCAACCCCCAGTGCTCTGCTCCTGGGTGTGACACTGTCCATGCCCCTCCATCCTGGCAGCATTTCCAGAGCACCCCCGTGTGCAGGGGGGCAAGAGGCGCAGCCTGGCACGGACCATCCCTCCTGCCATGCCATGTGCAAGACGGGGGGGCTGCATTCTCCTGGGCAGCAGAGCTGCTGGCAAGGCCTGCAGCTGGGCAGCCAGGCATGGTCCCCACAGAAAGCGTGCTGGTGTGTCAGGCTTGTTGCCAGGACTGGCATGCGCTTCCTGGTGACCCCCTCCCCCCTTGCAGTTCCTAGCGGTGGACACTCAGATGATCCTGGGGAACAAGCAGCTGTCCCTGAGCCCGGAGGAATACGTCTTTGCCGCCCTCAACCTCTACACGGATATTATCAACATCTTCCTCTACATCCTGGCCATCATCGGCCGGGCCAAGGACTAGCGCACCCGCTGCTGTGGAGAGTAGGGTAACCTCCTGTGCCAGCCCCACCTCACTGCCCCCACCCCGGCCCTGCTCCCCCATAGCCATTTGCTGTGTTGTTTTCATGGCATCTCGTTGTTGGTTCTCGTGTTCTAGTTATTTTGACCCATGGTCACCTTACCAGTTCTTCAGGAAGGACAGTGGGGTTGGGAGCATCTGAGCTGCACTGGGCTCATGGTTTTGGAAGGACCCGCCCTGGGCCATCATGGGATGAGGGACGCTCTCCATCCTTGGGCTGCCCGTGCTGCGTGGGGGTGTGGGGCTGGGCGCAAAGGGGGCGGGGCGGGGGGGTGTATAAATCGCTTTGCTCTGCACCACGTCAGGAGCCGCTGTCTTGCTTCAGGGAATGTCTCTGCCTGGCTGTGTCCCAAGCATGCTGCTCCCCCCCTCTGCCAGAGGCAGCTCTTTGGCTGCTACTGCTCCTCTCAGCTGTCGGTAGCCAGCTGCGTCCCCAGCCTCCCACTGGTGAATGGATTGAAGCCCACTCTGGCCCCAGGCGCTACCCTCTAGTGGCAGGGCTGCCTCACACAGGCAGATCAGGCCTTGGCATTTCGTGAGACAACCAGAGAGAGCTTCAAAGCACCGGCTCTGTTAGCGCCTGGCCCCAGAGATCTGACAGGCTGGGCAGTGCCTCCCAAGCGGTGCCCCTGCCGGGCCTGGCAGCACCTGCCTATATTCACTACAGTTAGTCATGAAGATGTTTGAGACCCTGAACCATTGGTGGTGGTGTGGGGGGGCTAACTGGGGGGGCTGAGTGCAGGCCGCTCCCCAGAGTGCCCTGGTGTGCAGCCCCCTTGAGGCTGCTTCCCAAGGTGCTATGCATGGCTGGCCCAGGGGTGAGCGCAGGGCTCTGCCCAGTTCCCCTCCCACGAGCACCTGGTGTGGGCTGCACCACAGCCCTGCCTTCCTTTTCCATGCAGCCCAGCTTCCTCCTGCTCCAGGTGGCCGGAGGGCTGGGTCCCTGTCGTTCTGTATGTCACTGGATGCTGCTGTTAATAAAGTTCTGTCTAGATGTGAGACCTGCACCCGTCGACTCTCCTTTCCCCGTCCCAGCCCTCTCCTGGGGCTCCCCCTGCACGAGCAGCATCTACACTGCCCCCTGCCCAGAGGCCTGGCTAAACAAGCGGCACCAGGAGAGACCTGGGTGAGGCTCGCCCTGCTGGGCAGCCCAGAGACCACTTTGCCATCCCCTCTGCACACCAGTCCCTGGGGCCAGGGAGCTGCATTCCTTGAGTTGTGCAGACCTCTCCCTCCCTGTGTGCCAGCCCACTTGGCAGCTAGACATCGAAGGGAGCAAGGGGCTGGCTGAGGAGGTTCTTGCTCTAGAGCAAGGTTACTAGCCCTTGGGCTCCTGGCTCCCTCTCCTCAGGAGCAGGGCACTGTCAGGGCCAGGGGAGAGGACTTCAGCAGAGCAACAAGCACCTGTGCCTGCCCCACACACCTGGGGGTATCATGGGGCAAGTGGGGGGCCTTCTGCACCATTTGGGCTCCATAGCACTACATGGCGCAGCCAGCGGAGACCAGCACAGAAAGATCGATCCCAGAGCCCCTCCCGCCCCCTGGAGCAAGGGAAGGCCCTGACAGACCCTGGGGCCGTGTAGGGGCAGGGATATAAATGCCATCTCTGTCCCGGCAGCCCCCGTGCCCCAACCACACGTACAGTCTCCTGGTAGCACAGGCAGGCTTTGAGCACTGCTGAGCTGCCTGGACTCCCGTGGCAGGAGGTTCTGGGGTGTGGTGCTCGAGTGGGGTCCCTGCACTGCTGCATGCTGCCTGGCTGTCCCTGTGCCCCGAGCCCAGAGCCACTCTGCACTCATCTGTATAAATAGGATGTCCTAATAAAGTGAGAATGTACAAAGCATTGGGCTCCTCTCGTCCTTCTTGGGCTGGGCTTTCCTGCAGCTGCTGCTCCCCCTGCCAGCAGCAGCTGGGTGCAGGTGAAGTGTCTGTATCACTGTGCTGCCCTCTCTCCTAGGCATGGTGTGACAGTACCCAGGGTCCTGAGGCCTCTCCCTGCCACTGCCTTAGCATGTCCCTGCCTGCTGTGGGTCAGTCCCTGAAACCAATGGCCTCGGGCAGCCCAGGCCCGCTGGCTCTGTACAGGTTAGCCAACATACCAACCCCTCAGTCATAGAACTGTAGGACTGGCAGGGACTAGAGAGGTCATCTAGTCCAGTTCTCTGCACTCACGGCAGGACAATTATCTAGACCCTTCCTGAGGGGGGTTTGTCTAACCTGCTCTTAAACATCTCCAATGACGGAGATTCCACAGCTTCCCTAGGCAATTTATTCCAGTGCCAAACCACCCTGACAGTTGGGAATTTTTTCCTAATGTCCAACCTAAACCTCCCTAGCTGGAATTTAAGACCATTGCTGCTTGCTGTAGCCTCAGAAGTAAACAAGAAAAAAAATTTCTCCTTTCTCCTTGTAACAACCTTTTATGTACTAGGAAAACTTGTACGTCCCCTCTGTCTTCTCTTCTCCACACTAAACAAGCCCAGTGTTTTCAATCTTCCCTCACAGGTCAGGTTTTCTAGCCCTTTTATCATTTTTGTTGCTCTTCTCCGGACTCTCTCCAGTTTGTCCACATCTTTCCTGAAAGGTGGTGCCCGGAACTGGCCACAATACTCCAGCTGAGGTCTCATCAGGGCACAGTAGAGCAGAAGAATTACTTCTCCTGTCATGCTTACAACACTCCTGCTAATACAGCCCAGTATGATGTTTGCTTTTTTTGCAACAGCGTTACACTGGTGACTCATATTTAGCTTGTGATCCACTATGACCCCCAGATCCCTTTCTGCAGTGCTCCTTCCTAGGCAGTCATTTCCCATTTTGTATGTGTGCAACTGATTGCTCCTTCCTAAGTGGCATACTTTGCATTTGTCCTTATTGAATTTCATCCTATTTACTTCAGACCCTTTCTCCAGTTTGTCCAGATCATTTTGAATCCAGAGCACTTGCAATCCCTCCCAGCTTGGTATTGTCCACAGGCTTTATAAGTGTACTCTCTATGCCATTATCTAAATCACTGATGAAGATATTAAACAGAACTGGACCCAGAACTGATCACTGCGGGACACCACTCATTATGCCCTTCCAGCATGACTGTGAACCATTGATAACTCCTCTCTGGGAACAGTTTTCCAGCTAGTTATGCACCCACCTTATAGTAGTTCCATCTAGATTGCATTTCCTTAATTTGTTTATGAGAAGGTCGTGCAAGACAGTATCAAAAGCCTTTCTAAAGTAAAGGTATACCACATCTACCATGTCCCCCTTATCCACAAGGCTTGTTACCCTGTCACAGAAAGCTATCAGGTTGGTTTGACATAATTTGTTCTTGACAAATCCATGCTGACTTTTACTTATCACCTCGTTATCTTCTAGGTGTTCGCACATTGATTGCTTAATTATTTGCTCCATTATCTTTCTGGGTACAGAAGTTTCTGGGTCTGTAATTCCCTGGGTTGTCCTTCTTCCCCTTTTTATAAATGGGCACTATATTTGCCCTTTTCCAGTCCTCTGGAATCTCTCCCGTCTTCCAGGACTTTTAGAAGATAATCGCTAATGACTCAGCTATCTCCTCTGTCAGCTCCTTGAGTATTCTAGGATGCATTTCATCAGGCCCTGGTGACTTGAAAATCTCTAGCTTGTCTAAATAATTTTTAACTTGTCCTTTCCCTATTTTAGCCTCTGATCCTACCTCATTTTCACTGGTATTCACTGTGCTAGATGTCCAGTCACCACCAACCTTCTTGGTGAAAACTGAAACAAAAAAGTCATTTAGGACTTCTGCTATTTCCACATTTTCTGTTACTCTGTGTGTGGCGGGGGAGGGAACAGTAACTGGCTCTCACAGGATCTGTGCCCTCTCGGCTCTGTAAGGCCCCATGGGAGTAACCCCCTTCAGTCTGACAGCCCTTCTCGAGGGTTGCACTCGCTCTGTGGGGTTAGGCCCTTTGACCCTTCCACCTCCCCGGACTGCACCACCTGGCTTTGTCAATGGCCCCCCTCTAGGTGTCCCCTCGCTCTGGACCCCCATGGCCTCCACTCCCAGAGGGAATGATGCAACCCCGATCTCTAGACTGGAGTGACTCTCAGCCAGCATAAAAAAAGAAGGTTTATTGAACGTCTGAACCCAGCACAGGAAACTTGCCTGGCCTCCCTCAGCAAAGCACATCTAGGTCTGTCCCACATCCACATGGGCTCTGGTTGCCCTCTTCCCCCCACAGTCCAGAAGCCCCTCCTTCCAGCTGGGCATCTGATTATCCCCATACCCCAAATCCCACCTCTGTCCTTTGTCTTCTGCCCCAGGTAAACAGGCCGGCTGGGCCTCCTCTCCCCCTCAGCCTCTTCTCTCATCTGCCCTTTGTTTCCCCTCTGGCTAGAACCGGCTGGTCCGGTCACCGGAGTCCTCTCTCCGCAGCCAGGCCTCCCGGTCACCAGTCGCTGAGCTATCCATTCTCCAAGCCATTCGCTGGCCCTCTGAAACAGCAAACTCCCTCTCCCACCACCTCGTTAAACCCGTAACACCCAGGGAAACTGAGTCCCACCCCCTCTGCCTGCAAACCATTGGAAAAACAAGAAACCCCCCTGCTTTGTCCCACCTCTCTCCCCTTCGAGTCTGAACTGAGCGGGTCACTTGGCCAGTGACCTGGGGAAATTCAGGGCCCCCACCCCGTGACAAAGCATCGGCCATAACCGTGGCACTCCCGCTCCCATGGACCGCCTCCATGTCATAACCCTGGAGGAGCCGGCTCCATCTCAGCAGCTTGGCATTAGCCCCGTTCAGCTGGTGCAGCCACATCCGGGGCGAATGGTCAGTGCACACCGTGAAGCACTGCGCAAAAAGATATGCAAAGAGAACAGGAGGACTTGTGGCACCTTAGAGACTCATTGGATGCATCCGATGAAGTGAGCTGTCGCTCACGAAAGCTCATGCTCAAATACATTGGTTAGTCTCTAAGGTGCCACAAGTCCTCCTTTTCTTTTTGCGAATACAGACTAACACGGCTGCGACTCTGAAACCTGTCAAAAAGATCTGGCTGCAGCTTTTTAAGGGCCCACACCATGGCCAGGCGTTCCTTCTCTATGGCCGCGTAGTGCTGCTCCCGGGGCAGCAGCTTCTTGCTCAAGTACACAGTGGGGTGTCTCTCCCCCTTAGTATCAGTTTGCATCAGCACCGCACCCAGCCCGGTGTCTGAGGCATCGGTGAACACCAGGAAGGGTTTATTAAAATCCAGGTTTACCAGCACCGGGCTTTGGATAAGTGCCCCCTTTAGTGCACAGAGAGACCTCTGGCACTGCTCACTCCAGACCAGCTTGTCCAGCTTTCCCTTCCTACAAAGCTCCATGAGGGGAGCTGCCAGGGAGCTAAAGTGGGGCACAAACCTCTGGTAGTACCCTGGGGTATGACACCTCAGCCATCCCAACTTTGCATTTTCCCCCAACAGCTGCAGGCTTAACTGAAAACAGCTTAAGAAACATTCCTGTCTTTAACACTCAGATGCCCAACTCCCAATGGGATCCAAACCCCAAATAAATCCGTTTTACTTTGTATAAAGCGTATACAGGGTAAACTCATAGATTGTTCGCCCTCTATAACACTGATATCCCGATGTGTCGAAAGAATAGTAAATATGGCAGGCGACCAGCTTGGCTTAACGGTGAAATCCTAGCGGATCTTAAGCATAAAAAAGAAGCTTACAAGAAGTGGAAGGTTGGACATATGACCAGGGAGGAGTATAAAAATATTGCTCGGGCATGTAGGAATGAAATTAGGAGGGCCAAATCGCACCTGGAGCTGCAGCTAGCGAGAGATGTTAAGAGTAACAAGAAGGGTTTCTTCAGGTATGTTGGCAACAAGAAGAAAGCCAAGGAAAGTGTGGGCCCCTTAATGAATGAGGGAGGCAACCTAGTGACAGAGGATGTGGAAAAAGCTAATGTACTCAATGCTTTTTTTGCCTCTGTCTTCGCGAACAAGGTCAGCTCCCAGACTGCTGCGCTGGGCATCACAACATGGGGAACAGATGGCCAGCCCTCTGTGGAGAAAGAGGTGGTTAGGGACTATTTAGAAAAGCTGGACGTGCACAAGTCCATGGGGCCGGACGAGTTGCATCCGAGAGTGCTAAAGGAACTGGCGGCTGTGATTGCAGAGCCATTGGCCATTATCTTTGAAAACTCGTGACGAATGGGGGAAGTCCCGGATGACTGGAAAAAGGCTAATGTAGTGCCAATCTTTAAAAAAGGGAAGAAGGAGGATCCTGGGAACTACAGGCCAGTCAGCCTCACTTCAGTCCCTGGAAAAATCATGGAGCAGGTCCTCAAAGAATCAATCCTGAAGCACTTACATGAGAGGAAAGTGATCAGGAACAGCCAGCATGGATTCACCAAGGGAAGGTCATGCCTGACTAATCTAATCGCCTTTTATGATGAGATTACTGGTTCTGTGGATGAAGGGAAAGCAGTGGATGTATTGTTTCTTGACTTTAGCAAAGCTTTTGACACGGTCTCCCACAGTATTCTTGTCAGCAAGTTAAAGAAGTACGGGCTGGATGAATGCACTATAAGGTGGGTAGAAAGTTGGCTAGATTGTCGGGCTCAACGGGTAGTGATCAATGGCTCCATGTCTAGTTGGTAGCCGGTGTCAAGTGGAGTGCCCCAGGGGTCGGTCCTGGGGCCGGTTTTGTTCAATATCTTCATAAATGATCTGGAGGATGGTGTGGATTGCACTCTCAGCAAATTTGCGGATGATACTAAACTGGGAGGAGTGGTAGATACGCTGGAGGGCAGGGATAGGATACAGAGGGACCTAGACAAATTGGAGGATTGGGCCAAAAGAAATCTGATGAGGTTCAATAAGGATAAGTGCAGGGTCCTGCACTTAGGACGGAAGAACCCAATGCACAGCTACAGACTAGGGACCGAATGGCTAGGCAGCAGTTCTGCGGAAAAGGACCTGGGGTGACAGTGGACGAGAAGCTGGATATGAGTCAGCAGTGTGCCCTTGTTGCCAAGAAGGCCAATGGCATTTTGGGATGTATAAGTAGGGGCATAGCGAGCAGATCGAGGGACGTGATCGTCCCCCTCTATTCGACATTGGTGAGGCCTCATCTGGAGTACTGTGTCCAGTTTTGGGCCCCACACTACAAGAAGGATGTGGATAAATTGGAAAGAGTCCAGCGAAGGGCAACAAAAATGATTAGGGGTCTGGAACACATGACTTATGAGGAGAGGCTGAGGGACCTGGGATTGTTTAGTCTGCGGAAGAGAAGAATGAGGGGGGATTTGATAGCTGCTTTCAACTACCTGAGAGGTGGTTCCAGAGAGGATGGTTCTAGACTATTCTCAGTGGTGGAAGAGGACAGGACAAGGAGTAATGGTCTCAAGTTGCAGTGGGGGCGGTTTAGGTTGGATATTAGGAAAAACTTTTTCACTAGGAGGGTGGTGAAACACTGGAATGCGTTGCCTAGGGAGGTGGTGGAATCTCCTTCCTTAGAAGTTTTTAAGGTCAGGCTTGACAAAGCCCTGGCTGGGATGATTTAATTGGGGATTGGTCCTGCTTTTGAGCAGGGGGTTGGACTAGATGACCTCCTGAGGTCCCTTCCAACCCTGATATTCTATGATTCTATTCTATGATAGAGAGAGATGCACAGCTGTTTGCTCCCCCAGGTATTAATCACCTACTCTGGGTTAATTAATAAGTAAAAAGTGATTTTATTAAATACAAAAAGTAGGATTTAATGGTTCCAAGTGATATCAGACAGAACAAAGTGAATTACCCAGCAAAATAAAACAGAACATGCAAGTCTATGCCTAATACAGTAAACCCTGGTCTACACTAGGAGTTGAGGTCGAATTTAGCAGCGTTAAATCGATTTAACCCTGCACCCGTCCACACGACGAAGCCCTTTTTTTCGACTTAAAGTGCTCTTAAAATCAGTTTCCTTACTCCACCCCCGACAAGGGGATTAGCGCTGAAATCGGCCTTGTCGGGTCAAATTTGGGGTCTTGTGGATGCAATTCGATGGTATTGGCCTCCGGGAGCTATCCCAGAGTGCTCCATTGTGACCGCTCTGGACAGCGCTCTCAACTCAGATGCACTGGCCAGGTAGACAGGACAAGGCCCGCGAATTTTGAATCTCATTTCCTGTTTGGCCAGTGTGGCAAGCTGCAGGTGACCATGCAGAGCTCATCAGCAGAGGTGACCATGATGAAGTCCCAGAATCGCAAAAGAGCGCCAGCATGGACCGAACAGGAGGTGCGGGATCTGATCGCTGTATGGGGAGAGGAATCCGTGCTACCAGAACTCCGTTCCAGCTTTTGAAATGCCAAAACATTTGTAAAAATCTCCCAGGGCATGAAGGACAGAGGCCATAACAGGGACCCGAAGCAGTGCCGCTTGAAACTTAAGGAGCTGAGGCAAGCCTACCAGAAAACCAGAGAGGCAAACGGCCGCTCCAGGTCAGAGCCCCAAATATGCCATTTCTATGATGAGCTGCATGCCATTTTAGGGGGTTCAGCCACCACTACCCCAACGCTGTGCTTTGACTCCATCAATGGTGTGGGAGGCAACACGGAAGCAGGTTTTGGGGACGAGGAAGATGAGGAGGAGGTTGAAGATAGCTCACAGCAAGCAAGCAGAGAAACCAGTTTTCCCAACAGCCAGGAACTGTTTCTCACCCTGGACCTGGAGCCAGTCCCCCCCGAACCCACCCAAGGCTGCCTCCAGACACACCAGGCGGAGAAGGGACCTCTGGTGAGTGTACCTTTTAAAATAGTATACATGGTTTAAAAGCAAGCATGTTTAATTATTAATTTGCCCTGGCATTTGCCGCCAGTACAGTTACTGGAAACGTCTGTTAATGTGTCTGGGGATTGAGCGGAAATCCTCCAGGGACTCTCCATAAAGCTCTCCTGGATGTACTCCCAAAGCCTTTGCAAAAGGTTTCTGGGGAGGGCAGCCTTATTCCGTCCACCATGGTAGGACACTTTACCACGCCAGGCCAATAGCACATAGTCAGGAATCATTGCAGAACAAAGCATTGCAGTGTATGTTTACTGGCGTTCAGACAACATCCGTTCTTTATCTCTCTGTGTTATCCTCAGGAGAGTGATATCATTCATGGTCACCTGGTTGAAAAAGGTGCTTTTGTTCCGGGGACACTCAGAGGTGCCCATTCCTGCTGGGCTGTTTGCCTGTGGCTGACCAGAAATGTTCCCTGCTGTTAGCCACATGGTGGGGGGAGGCAAAATGCAACCTTATAATGAAAGCACATGTGTTGTGTATGTAATGTTAACAGCAAGGTTTACTGTGAAAGAGTGTACTCATTGTTCTAGAAAATGTGTCTTTTTAAATACCACTGTCCCTTTTTTTTCCTCCACCAGCTGCATGTGTTTCAAGGATCACAGGATCTTCTCCTTCCCAGAGGCTAGCAAAGATTAGAAGGTGAAAAAAACGCACTTGTGATGAAATGTTCTCTGAGCTCATGCTGTCCTCCCACACTGACAGAGCACAGACGAATGCATGGAGGCAGACAATGTCAGAGTGCAGGAAAGCACAAAATGACCGGGAGGAGAGGTGACGGGCTGAAGAGAGTAAGTGGTGGGCTGAAGAGAGGGCTGAAGCTGAAAGGTGGCGGCAGCATGATGAGAGGAGGCAGGATTCAATGCTGAGGCTGCTGGAGGATCAAACCAATATGCTCCAGTGTATGGTTGTGCTGCAGGAAAGGCAGCAGGAGCACAGACCGCTGCTACAGCCCCTGTGTAACCAACTGCCCTCCTCCCCAAGTTCCATAGCCTCCTCACCCAGACGCCCAAGAACGTGGTGGGGGGGCCTCCGGCCAACCAGCCACTCCACCCCAGAGGATTGCCCAAGCAACAGAAGGCTGGCATTCAATAAGTTTTTAAATTTTTTTAAGTTTTTAAGTTTTAAAGTGCAGTGTGGCCTTGTCCTTCCCTCCTCCCCCACCCCTCCCGGGCTACCTTGGCAGTTATCCCCCTATTTGTGTGATGAATTAATAAAGAATGCATGAATATGAAGCAACAATGACTTTATTGCCTCTGCAAGCGGTGATCGAAGGGGCGAGGGGAGGGTGCTTAGCTTACAGGGAAGTAGAGTGAACGAAGGGGGGGAGGTTCATCAAGGAGAAACAAACAGAACTTTCACACCGTAGCCTCGCCAGTCATGAAACTGGTTTTCAAAGCTTCTCTGATGCGCAGCGCACCCTCCTGTGCTCTTTTAACCACCCTGGTGTCTGGCTGTGCATAACCAGCGGCCAGGCGATTTGCCTCAACCTACCACCCCACCATAAACGTCTCCCCCTTACTCTCACAGATATTGTGGAGCGCACAGCAAGCAGTAATAACAGTGGGAATATTGGTTTCGCTGAGGTCTAAGCGAGTCAGTAAACTGCGCCAGCGCGCCTTTAAACGTCCAAATGCACATTCTACCACCATTCTGCACTTGCTCAGCCTGTAGTTGAACAGCTCCTGACTACTGTCCAGGCTGCCTGTGTACGGCTTCATGAGCCATGGCATTAAGGGGTAGGCTGGGTCCCCAAGGATACATATAGGCATTTCAACATCCCCAACAGTTATTTTCTGGTCTGGGAATAAAGTCCCTTCCTGCAGCTTTTGAAACAGACCAGAGTTCCTGAAGATGTGAGCGTCATGTACCTTTCCCGGCCATCCCACGTTGATGTTGGTGAAACGTCCCTTGTGATCCACCAGAGCTTGCAGCACTATCGAAAAGTACCCCTTGCGGTTTATGTACTCGGCGGCTTGGTGCTCCGGTGCCAATATAGGGATATGGGCTCCGTCTATGGCCCCACCACAGTTAGGGAATCCCATTGCAGCAAAGCCATCCACTATGACCTGCACATTTCCCAGGGTCACTACCCTTGATATCAGCAGATCTTTGATTGCGTGGGCTACTTGCATCACAGCAGCCCCCACAGTAGATTTGCACTATAAGGTGGGTAGAAAGCTGGCTAGATTGTTGGGCTCAACGGGTAGTGATCAATGGCTCCATGTCTAGTTGGCAGCCGGTATCAAGTGGAGTGCCCCAAGGGTCGGTCCTGGGGCCGGTTTTGTTCAATATCTTCATAAATGATCTGGAGGATGGTGTGGATTGCACTCTCAGCAAATTTGCGGATGATACTAAACTGGGAGGAGTGGTAGATACGCTGGAGGGGAGGGATAGGATACAGAGGGACCTAGACAAATTGGAGGATTGGGCCAAAAGAAATCTGATGAGGTTCAATAAGGATAAGTGCAGGGTCCTGCACTTAGGACGGAAGAACCCAATGCACAGCTACAGACTAGGGACCGAATGGCTAGGCAGCAGTTCTGCGGAAAAGGACCTAGGGGTGACAGTGGACGAGAAGCTGGATAGGAGTCAGCCGTGTGCCCTTGTTGCCAAGAAGGCCAATGGCATTTTGGGATGTATAAGTAGGGGCATAGCGAGCAGATCGAGGGACGTGATCGTTCCCCTCTATTCGACATTGGTGAGGCCTCATCTGGAGTACTGTGTCCAGTTTTGGGCCCCACACTACAAGAAGGATGTGGATAAATTGGAGAGAGTCCAGCGAAGGGCAACAAAAATGATTAGCGGTCTGGAACACATGACTTATGAGGAGAGGCTGAGGGAGCTGGGATTGTTTAGCCTGCAGAAGAGAAGAATGAGGGGGGATTTGATAGCTGCTTTCAACTACCTGAAAGGGGGTTCCAGAGAGGATGGATCTAGACTGTTCTCAATAGTAGCAGATGACAGAACGAGGAGTAATGGTCTCAAGTTGCAGTGGGGGAGGTTTAGATTGGATATTAGGAAAAACTTGTTTTTTCACTAAGAGGGTGGTGAAACACTGGAATGCGTTACCTAGGGAGGTGGTAGAATCTCCTTCCTTAGAGGTTTTTAAGGTCAGGCTTGACAAAGCCCTGGCTGGGATGATTTAACTGGGAATTGGTCCTGCTTCGAGCAGGGGGTTGGACTAGATGACCTTCTGGGGTCCCTTCCAACCCTGATATTCTCTGATTCTATGATTCTATGATCTGCCCACTCCAAATTGATTCCCAACTGACCCATAGCTGTCTGGCGTTGCAAGCTTCCACAGGGCTATCGCCACTCACTTCTCAACTGTGAAGGCTGCTCTCATCTTGGTATTCTTGCACCTCAGGGCAGGGGAAAGCAAGTCACAAAGTTCCATGAAAGTGCCCTTACGCATGCGAAAGTTTCGCAGCCACTGGGAATCTTCCCAGACCTGCAACACTATGCGGTCCCACCAGTCTGTGCTTGTTTCCCGGGCCCAGAATCGGCGTTCCACAGCATGAACCTGCCCCGTTAGCACCATGATGCCCACATTGCCAGGGCCCATGCTTTGAGAGAAGTCTGTGTCCATGTCCTCATCACTCTCGTCACCGCGCTGACGTCGCCTACTCGCCCTGGTATCGCTCTGCCAGGTTCTGGTGTTGCATATACTGCTGGATAACGCGTGTGGTGTTTAATGTGCTCCTAATTGCCAAAGTGATCTGAGCGGGCTCCATGCTTGCTGTGGAATGGCGTCTGCACAGAAAAAAGGTGCGGAATGATTGTCTGCCGTTGCTCTGATGTAGGGAGGGGTGACTGACGACATGGCTTACAGAGAATTAAAATCAACAAAGGGGGTGGCTTTACATCAAGGAGAAACAAAAACAACTGTCATACAGAACGGCCCCCTCATGGATTGAACTCAAAACCCTGGGTTTAGCACGCCAATGCTCAACCCACTAAGCTATCCCTCCCCCTGGTATTCCAGGTAGGACTGAATCTCCATTAAACTTTTGGGGGTGCCCCTGACAGACCTCACCGAAACAATTGTTAGCCGTTGATTTCATGAAGGAAGGGAGAGAGGGAGCAAATGAATACAAAACAAATCTGGTCTATTTCTTGTTTTGATCCACGTCATCTATCTCTTACATCTTAGGCTGGCAGCAGATGGTGCTGTAGGACTGCTAGCCATCCTCATCTCCTGGCTGCTCGGCAGAAGACGGTGCAATCCGACTGCCGGCAGGACTAACGAGAATGACTTGGTCGAGTAACTCCTATTTATGTCCCTGTACCCATGTCTGCCCAGGTGCTCCTGACCGACCTTGCCGAGGCGGCCAGGAGCACCTAGGACATGATGATGCTGGTTATCAGGCCTATTGCACCGTCTGCTGCCACGAGGCAATGGGTTGCTGCTGCTGTGTAGCAATGCAGTACCCCGTCTGCCAGTACCCAGGAGACATACGGTGACAGTGAGCTGAGTGGGCTCCGTGCTTGCCGTGGTACGGCGTCTGCACGGGTAACCCAGGAAAAAAGGCGCGAAACGATTGTCTGCCGTTGCTTTCACGGAGGGAGGGAGGGAACGGGGGCCTGACGACATGTACCCAGAACCACCTGCGACAATGTTTTCGCCCCATCAGGCATTGGGATCTCAACCCAGAATTCCAATGGGCGGCGGAGACTGCAGGAACTATGGGATAGCTACCCACAGTGCAACGCTCCTGAAGTCACGCTAGCCTCGGTACTGTGGAAGTGCTCCGCCGAGTTAATGCATTTAGAGCATTTTGTGTGGGGACACACACAATTGACTGTATAAAAATGATTTCTAAAAAAACGACTTCTATAAATTCAACCTAATTTCATAATGTAGACATATCCATAAGAAAACTGAATACAGATAAAATCTCACCCTCAGAGATGTTTCAATAAACTTCTATCACAGACTGGACGCCTTCCTAGTCTGGGTCCATCCTTTCCCCTAGTTCAGCCCTTGTTCCAGCTCAGGTGGTAGCTAGGGGATTTCTCATGATTGTAGCTCCCTTTTGTTCTGTTCCACCCCCTTTTATAGCTTTGGCACAAGACAGGAACCCTTTGGCCCTCTCTGGGTTCCCAGCCCCTCCTTCTCAATGGAAAAGCACCAGGTTAAAGATGGATTCCAGGTCAGGTGACATGATCACATATCACTGTGAGACCCCAAGCCTCCATTCCTCCCAGTCTGACCCACAGGAAGACCTGTCTGCAAACCGAGCCACCCACAGACCATTGTTCTGGCTGATGGGAGCCATCAAGATTCCAAACCATCATTCATAGCCCACACTTTGCAGTTACAATAGGCCCTCAGAGGTATATTTCATATTCCTAGTTTCAGATACGAGAATGATACATTCATACAAATAGGATGACCACACTCAGTAGATTATAGGCTTTGTAATGATACCTTACTAGAGACCTTTTGCATGAAGCATATTCCAGTTACCTCATATTCACACTCATTAGCATATTTTCATAAAATCATATAGAGTGCAACGTCACACCCTGAATGGCGAACACCTGATGGAAGGGCCGGCTCCCCTCTCCACCTGGTGCACAGCCGGGTTAGTGAGCCCAGGCCAGTTGGAAATCTGCGGTTGGTACAAATGCAGCGCTGCTCTGATCTCAGCCTGCTGGGCAGGGGTGAGCTGGCCCGAGAGGGGAATTGTTTCCAGCAAGGGGCTGGCTCCCGTCTCAGCAGGGCTGTCCTTACCCATATGCAAACTACGCAGCTACGTAGGGCACCAAATTGCCCCAAATTTCCTGGTGCCCTATGCAGCTGCGTGCCGCTCCAGTGGCCAACCGGGTCCCCCAGCTGGCTGAGCTAGCCAGGAAAGCTGCCCCCGCCCCTGCTCTGCCTCTTCCCCAAAGCCCCCACCCTTGCTCCGCTCTGCCCCACCTCTTCCCATCCCCTCACCACACCTTCCCGAAAGCCCCCGCCCTTCCCCCTGAGCTACGGGCTGGGGGACTGCAGCAGGGGTTGGGCACCCTGTGCTCACCGGGTAGCAGGAAGTGGAGCAACCCAGCCCCAACCCACTCCACTCCACCGGCTCATGCTGGGGGGTGGTTTCCCCCCGCCCCCCAAGCCTGCTCCTGCCCCCCCATGGAGGCCTGGGGCCAGCCCCACTCCCATGGGGGGCTGCGTAGGGCACCAAAATGTCTAGGGATGGCTCTGCATCTCAGGGAGGAGCCCCACCAGGGGATCCTC